TGACCCTCAGATGTCCCTTCCAACTCTACAATTCTGTAATTCTGTGATTCTATGCTGTTTGTGGGAATGGAGTACAATGGTACCTCGGGATACATACGCTTCAGGTTACAGACTCCGCTAACCCAGAAATAGTACCTCGGGTTAAGAACTTTGCTTCAGGTTGAGAACAGAAATCATACTGCGGCGGCGTGGCAGCAGCAGGAGGCCCCATTAGCTAAAGTGGTGCTTCAGGTTAAGAACAGTTTCAAGTTAAGAACGGACCTCTGGAACAAGTTTAAGTACTTAACCCAAGGTACCACTGTATCCTAAAACTGGGTTAGAACACTGAACAGAAAGCACTACAGTGTTTTATTGTGTGTCCCCTTGGAAAATCCAACAAGTACCGTATTTTTCGCACCATAGGACACACCAGACAATAGGAAGCACTTTGTTTTAGAGGGGGGGAGAACAAGAAAATTTTTTTTCGCCCTCTCTGCCCAGCGCCCCTTCATTGAAGCAGCAGGAGGCGCTGCACAGAGAGGGGGAGAACTTTCCCCCTCTTGTTTTCCCACTCTAAAACAAGGTGCCGTTTAAGGTGCGTTCAGGCGGCTACCTTGGAAGCCTGGAGAGCGAGAGGGGTCGGTGTGCACTGACCCCTCTCGCTCTCCAGGCTTCAGGTTCCTTCGACCTGCTCTTTGGGGCTGGCGGGGAAGCCCACCACCAGCCCCAAAGAGCAGGTCAGGGAGCAGCGGAAAGGCGCAGCGGAGAGGCTCCTGCCATAGCCGCGCGTCACCTCTCCAGCCAGGAGAGGGTCGCGGGGGGCTGCTTTAGCCCCGCGCGCGCTCTCCTGGCTGGAGAGGTGACGCGCGGCTCTGGCAGGAGCCTCTATAGCCGCACATCACCTCTCCGGCCGGGAGAGGGTCGCAGGGGCTGCTTTAGCCCGCGCGCGCACTCTCCCGGCTGGAGAGGTGACACGGGGCTGTAGAGGTTCCTGCCATAGCCGCGCGCCACCTCACCAGCCGGGAGAGGGTCGCGGGGCTATGGCATATTCGCTCCATAGGACGCACACACATTTCCCCTTCATTTTTGAAGGGGAAAAGTGCGTCCTATAGAGCGAAAAATACGGTAACTGCTACATGTTTCTTTAAAAGTCTTGTTTCTGAGCTGAGGCTGATGCTGCAACTATGGTGGATATTTGAAGAAAGAAGATCTTCAAATATCCACCATAGTTGCAGCATCAGCCCCAGCTCAGAAACAAGACCATGAATTTATGGTGGACTTCATTAAAATGAATAGTACTGATAATTTAGGCCACAAGGTGGCAACAAAATTGTGCAGCTCTAATCCCAATACTAAGGGACGCGGGTGGCGCTGTGGGTTAAACCGCAGAGCCTAGGACTTGCTGATCAGAAGGTCGGTGGTTCGAATCCACACAACGGGGTGAGCTACCGTGGCTCGGTCCCTGCTCCTGCCAACCTAGCAGTTCGAAAGCACGTTAAATTGCAAGTAGATAAATAGGTACCACTCTGGCGGGAAGGTAAACGACGTTTCCGTTCGCTGCTCTGGTTTGCCAGAAGCAGCTTAGTCATGCTGGCCACATGACCCGGAAGCTGTACGCCGGCTCCTCGGCCAATAAAGCGAGATGAGCGCCGCAACCCCACAGTCGGTCACGACTGGACTTAGTGGTCAGGGTTCCCCTTTACCCTTAATCACAATACTGCACAGGTCTAGAGGTGAATTTGCCCCTGCTCTGCATTCTTAAGCAGACTAACCCAATTCTCACGTCCCTGACTGAAACACAGATTGAAACATACATACAAACTTCAGATTTTGCATTTATCTGAATTTTATGGTGCAGTACCAAAACACATATGATAATAATAGTTTGGGATAGTGTTAGTATTATTGATTGGTGTTACCCAAAGGTCTCCAAGCATCTTAGAACACATTAAAAAATGTAAAATATGTTTAGAAATGGATACGTTGAGGTAAAACACGTTTGACTATTTTGTGATAATATTCAGGAATAGTGTGGTTTAGTGGTTATTGCGTTGGGCTAGGATGGGAGGATCGAGATTAGCTTTGCTGTTTCTCCATGAAGCGCAGTGGGTGGCCCTGGGCCTCTTGCTACTTAACCCTCCTCATCAGATTTCTTTGAGGAGAAGTGAGGGGGGAAGAACATAGGAGGCCACTTTGAGCTCCTTGTAGGGAATGCCTGATAGAGGTTCAGCATTTGATTCCTTAGATTGCTGGGGGATGTTGCAGTGCTCTCAGCAAAGTGGTTTTTGTTT